AGTGAACCTTTTTTCCTTCTATACCTATTTAAACATAAGTTTATTTAAATAAATATATAATACTTTAGTATTTATCAACCCTAAATATCTTACTAACATTGGCTACTACTAAAGAATGGTTTTAGAAAAATAGTCTAATTAAACTATTACTGAGACTTTTTTTTCTGGTTCTTACCTGAGAATGTGTGAAATGAGTACGTAGCATCTGTCCAATGTTTTGGGTATGAGAAAGATCCAAGGCTGCATCTACCTCATCAAGGATATAAATTGGAGCAGGTTTGAAGAGGAGCATCGACAGTATTAATGACAAGGCCACTAAAGACCTAAGAAAAGGTCAGTAGAAGAAAAACCATAACAATTTGATTTTACCACTTATCAAAACACTGAAGCAAATATGTGATCCTATTATTGTGAATACAGCAGATTTATCTGAAAGGTAGTCATATAAAAAAAGAATCTTGAGTTTCAATCTTTAACACTTTTGTTGTATTAAAATATTCCTTTTATTTTAGCTTTCCATTTTTCCTCTTTTCAGAAGCATGCTATTTTCAGACAATTTTAATATTGCCATATTACGTTTGGCACCTACTCTTAAGATCACGTTAGTTTTAAAAGTTCTTTTTTTTTTCCTTCCCCAGTTGGCTCGTTAGAGTAAGGGCTATGGTCATTATTTAAGACAATAGCTATTGTCTTGGTAACAGTAACTGGGTGAGATGTCATTTTTCAAACTTTCATAATGTACACACATAAGTATGCATATATACACACAAACAGACACACAATCTCTCTCTATATATATTTTTGGTATCATTTGTGAATAAGTTGTATGGATGATGGCCCATTACTCTAAGTACATCACTGTCAAAAGTTCAAACAATTTTATGTAAAATTCATAGTTACACCTAATCTCAGATTCCACAGCACTATTTTCAGTTCTCTTCTCGCTTACTGCAGCTCATTCTAATCTGGTATGAAGAATCATAATAATTATTATATTTTTTCCTTAAATAATTCATAAAAAGTCTTATTTTAATATAAAATATTTATAATTACTTAACATTAGACTAAACATTAGAGTAGCATTTGTAATATACTTATTCTGTAACTTCAAGTACATCTTGGCATACAGTACTAGGATAGCCAACTTAATGCTTGCTGCATTCTTTTTTGAGAGTCTTGCTCTGTTATCCAGGATGAAGTGCAGTGGCACGATCTCGGTTCACTGCAAACTCTGCCTCCCAGGTTCAAGCAATTCTACTGCCACAGCGTCCCTAGTAGCTGAGATTACAGGTGCATGCCACCACACCCAGATAATTTTTGTAGTTTTAGTAGAGACAGGATTTCACCATGCTGGCCAGGCTGGTCTCGAACTCCTGACCTCAAGTGATCCACCCGCCTTGGCCTCCCAAAGTGCTGGGATTATAGGCATGAGCCACCGTGCCCGGCCCAAGGCTTGCTGCATTCTAATAAGGCTATTTATTAAGAAATACATAAATAAGTAGGGAAAAATGTGTGCACAAGTGGAGAAAAATTGCTAGCAAAAAAAAAAAAAAAAAAGAATAAAACAGTATCATCAAAATGAAATCACAGTGAGACTGTTAATCACCTCTATAAAAGGGAGCTAAAGTCATTCAGCCAACCTAAAATTATGTTTGTCTTTCTCTGTGATGAGTGCCTCAAGTATTGAGTTTTAAACTTAATCTTTAACCCTTCAGCATAGCAGAATTTTTTTTTAACTGCCATGCTGGATAGTGGTATATCTAAAAATAACTTTATAGCATCTTAATTACGGAAATAATTTATAGGTCTCAGTAAGAAGAGAAGCACACATTGTCCATTTTCCTCAAAACATTTTCTAGGGCTTTGGCAAATATAGCTAAAGATACTGGGAACTAAACTGTGGAATTCAATTTTTATGAACAGGCAGAGCAGGTGCTGTATTTTTGATTCTTATTTACAAATTTTATAAAAATATAAATAAAATATATTTCTACTCATAAAAATGATACAAGGGGTCATAAGGAACATTAACAGGTGTCTATATTTTCTATGTACATAAAAAAAGGGTTACATGATGGTATTACAGGACACAGAAGAACAATTCAAGGCCTATGGATTATATACCATGTTGGAGAAAAAAACAATTACTAAATTAATCACTAATTTCAATTATGTGAATATTCATTCACAACCTTCTTTTAGGAGGTTTTAATTAATTGGCTATCTGCAGGTAAGACGTGAGGACATATGACCTTTTAGATTTCTATCACTATGCTGACTTTCTGAATCACTGTGTACGGTTGGAAGAAACTTTCCTGAACTCCAAATCCATGTTATTTTCCAACACTCTTCCTTCCTTTATGTAGATCCAAGGTTCCATCTGGTATCATTTTCCTTTTGCCTGAGAACTTCCTTTAACCTGTAGTATAGTTCAGATGTTTCTGTCTGAAAAGTATTCATATTGCCTTCAATTTGAAGAATATTTCTGTTAGATAAACAATTCTAGTTGACATGTTTTACTTTGAGCACTTTGTGGATGTTCCAGACTTCTGGCTTACATATGTAGCATTTAAAAAGAAATCTAAAGACATTTTTATTTTTGTTCACTAGCATATAATATGTCTCTTTTCCTCTAGCTGATTTTAGGATTTTTCTCCTAATCACTGGTTTTCAGCAGTTTTATGTATCTCTTGCTTTGTTATTTTATCTGTGTTTCTGTTTATCCTGCCTAAGCTTGACAGAACTCAAATCTGTGGGTTTACAGAATTCATCAAATCTGGAAAATATGGGGCCATAATTTCTTCAAGTATTTTTCCATCCTCCCCATTCCCTCTCCTTTTGGAACTCCAATTACTTGCACATTAGACAGCTTCCCTTAGGACACTGAAGCCGGTTTCTTTTTCCCCCTCCAGTTTTTTCTTTCTCAGTGTAGCCTGAATAGATTCTGTTCTATTGCTATGTCTTCAAATTTACTCATCTTTCTTTTACAGTATCTTATCTGCTGTTAACCTCATGCAGAAAACTTTTTTTAATCTCTTGAAGATCCACTTAATTCTTTTTAGTAGCTATTTCTCTCATTATGTTCATGTTTTCTTGTAATTTTTGAAAATGATTAATGTAACTCTAACTTGTTTCCTACTTTCATCAACTCTCATTTCAGAGTCTGTGGTTATGTTGTTTAGTATCTCAATTTTTTTTAACCTTCTTTAAAGAACACTGGCCTTTGTTCTGATAAACAAGTAACAGTTTGATCCCTTCAAGAAATCTGTTCAGTTTCTTAGGATATGTCTACTAGATTAGGCTTCACTTCAGGGACAGTAGAGACCTAATACCAAGGTGTAGCACTCTAGGGCTTTGCAAAATTCTGTGTTTTTTAACTTAGTGAGACTACTGACCTCCGTTTGGGCACCTGAAGTCCAAAAACTGCCACTAGAGAGAAAGTCAGGGTGAACACAGGGCTCAGCATTTCTGTTTCATCTTGTCCTGGACTATTCATTTTTTAATATTTGAAAATACATTTTTTAAAAACATATTTTGTCAACTTTGTCGCCTGTTTTAACCAAAATGTTTAGTCTTATATATTAGGCTCCTTAAATTCTACATGCAAAGGTAGTTAAGCAAATTAAAACACAAATACAATTGTTAAGGTAATGAGATGATGAATTAAAGTAAGAGGAATGAAAATTAAAATACAGCAAAGTGATTCCTCACCTCTGACCACCACTGAGTTCAGTTAGGTTTTCTTTCCAGGTATTTCCTAAGGCAACCTTGAACTCCAGACCATCCAAAACAGTTTGACCCTCTGGTGGTGCAAGCATAGCATTAGCACCAGGCAAAAGAGTAGAAAAAATAGAGCCAAAGTCCGTGTTCACCTGGATTTAAAAAATAAAAGAGTTAAAACATCAGGATGCTTTCCAAGAAGAATCAATTGTTGATATATGTATATGCAACACAGCAGGTCTACTTTGTCTATTACTGTAACTCGGAGACTGACAAACTATGGTCCATGTGAAAAATCTGGAGATGCTCATTCATTTACAAAGTGTCTATCAATCATTGCTAGTGATACAACAAAATCAGGTAGTTGCAACAGAGACTGGATGGGCTCCCAAGCAAAAAATATTTATTATCTGGCCCTTTACAAAAATGAATTACTGAATCCTGCTCTAATTTCCAGGGGAACTAGAAGGCACACCTCTAACTCTACTCCAAAGTTTTGACACTTTTGTAGAACACATTGCAGGAATCCTCAAGATACACACAATTGTATCACATGAGGAAAAAAAACAAAATAGAAGCAAACACAAAAACAAAACTCTTTTTGGAATAAAATGTTCTCTTATAAAACTTTTCTTTTTCTTGTTGACTGATACAATAAGACGGGTCTAAAGCCCTAAGCAGATCAGTGTGAGGCCCAGGAGAAAAAGGGGCATGAAATCAAAGGACCAGATCTGTTAAAGGGTTCTTTTCTATATGCCTCATCTTCTAGCCGAAGAGGATAAGCTGTTGAGGGCCAGAAAATAGGATTAGATCCCAAGAAAAAAGAAAGCTGTTTGGTCTGCTCCTGTCTTGCCACAGAAGGAGACAGAGATTTAGGGCCAAAATCCTAGTTTGTAATAGGATAATTTTTGTTCATACGCACTTGATTGATGATTTGGGAATCTGGCCATCTGTCTTCAAAGACATGACTAATATTCTTAGTTCAGCAGTCAAACTTGAAAGTCTAACAAACACACACACACACACATACACAAGGACTTGACAGCCAAGTTCTCTAGAGCAATCTCCAAATTCAAATGCAGATATACAATATTAAAATGTAAATATACTTTTTAATGAATATAGTAACAAGAAAATCTCATAGACACAAGCAGTGCTCCTAAATATAGATTTACTAAGTAACACACATTTTAAGAACAAGTACACAGCTGCTGAATAATAGTCTACAGAATGGAAGCAGGTTCTAAACCTAGTCGGGGGAGAGGCAGCTCAGGACCAAGAGAGAGGAATGCTACTACACCTGAACATAACCAGGGCTGAAGCCAGAAGGAAGAATATAATGCTGATAACAGTACCTATTTAATTAGGTTATTGTGAAGATTAGATAAGAAAATTAATTTGAGAATAGTGACTGGCAATATAAGAAGTGACTGAATAAATGCTACTGGCTTTGGAAGAACCTTGGAAATTAAGGAACAGCAGGATATGTTTAGACAATAGATTCTGATTTGTACTAAGTCCAGGAACCCTGGTGGGAAAAAAGAAAACAAAAACTTCTCAGATCCAGTGTTAAATCGACATGCTGTACAACAATAATAGTGGGTCAGTCTTTTGCTTCCATTTTTAAGAGAAAAATAGTACAGGGAATAGAGCACTGAAAATAAGTCTTAGAAAAGAAAAAAACAAGGTGACTAAAAGGGATAATTGTGGTGCATTACTGAAGATAGAATTCCTACAGAATTACAGAGAGAAAATGGTGTCCCATTAAAACCCAGAAGGCACAGGTTTGCTAAACTACCAAACAGCACAGTAACTCTATGTTTGGAATCTTTGAAGTAAGAGTCTTCCGCGACAGTAAAAATGGAAAAACTTCCACATGAGAGGCTAAGGGATTATCCTACAGCAGACAGATACATGAAGTCAGGGAAGTAGAAGTAACAGTAAAGAAGCCTGACATCTGCCAAAGCTGTCATAAAACAAAATGGAATTGGGATTTTGTTGAGTAAGCGTCCTATAAAAGAGGCTTGTTTACTGTCCAATTCTTAAGGAGGACAAGAATGCCAGAATCTGGTAATAGTCAAGTCTGAAAAGAAAACATGCATTTAAAAGTCTGA